ACTGCACTTCAGCCTGGGCAACAGAGAAAGACCCTCTTTCAAAAAAAGAAAGGAAAGAAGGAAGGAAGGAAGGAAAGAAGGAGAGAGAGAGAGAAAGAAAAAAGAAAGAAAGAAAAAAGAAAGAAAAGAAAGAAAGAAGGAAAGAAAGAAGGAAAGAAGGAAAGAAAGGAAGGAAGGAAGAAAAGAAAGAAAGGAAGGAAAGAAGGAAGAAAGGAAGGACAGAAGGATGGAAGAGAGAAAGAGAGAGAGAGAGTGAGATTCAATTAAGGTAACCAGGCAAGCTTTGGAAGAGAAGTGTAAGAAGAAGAAAGGGATTTTAAAGAATGTGTGGATATGTGTGACAGTCTTCAGTCAAACAAACTGATTCCCAGCAGTGAAAAACAAGTACTCAAGCACTGCAGGGCCATGAGGACCTTGAGAAAAAGAAAAGGTGGTAAGGAAATCACTCAGAGTGGGCCCTGGGTGCTGGCCAATAGGTGGTGCTGTCTGCATGGATAGCAAGATTGTCATCCAGAGCAGCAACAGTGAATAGGAAAACTAAAGCTTAATGAGCCATTCACATATAAGAACATTTGCCAGCTAAGTGTTCATAATTTGAGAATTACATATATTTCAGTATTCAATATATGACTCAATATTTCAATATTCAATCTATACAACTGATATGGTTTGGCTCTGTGTCCTCACGCAAATCTCATCTCAAATTGTAATCCCCACATGTTGGAGGAAAGGCATGGTGGGAGGTGATTGGATCATGGCGGCAGATTTCTCTCTTGCTGTTCTCATGATAGTGAGTAAGTTCTCACAAGATCTGATAGTTTTAAAGTGTGGCAACTGCCCCCTCGCTCTTTTACTCTCTCCTGCCACCATGTAAGATGTGTCTTGCTTCTCCTTCACCTACGGCCATGATTGTAAGTTTCCCCAGCCCCGCAGAACTGTGAGTTGATTAAACCTCTTTTTCTTTATAAATTACCTATTCTCAAGTAGTTCTTTATAGCAGTGTGAAAATACAATAACCAACACTTAACACAATACAATAACCAACACTTAACTGTATTAGTGATATACTCCTATTAAGCAAAAGGATTTCTTGAGTGAAGTAAACCCAATAACCAGTATTTCTATTCAAAAAGATCTATAAAAATACTAGGTTTCTATAAAACTTCCCAGATACCACTTGATAGTCATTCAATTGAACATTGAATATGCTTTGTTTCAGTTTCCAACATTCAAGATAAATATTTTATTCTATTTTATTACCTTTTTCATTTTGTTTAATCATTAAATTATTATAGCATATTTTTTCATTTTTAAAAAGAGAATATTTCAGTAACTTTATAAATTAAATAAGTTTTTGCTGGCCAATCTGGAAAACTAAGCAATTATTTTAAAAGAGGAAAACAGAGGGCAGAGCAAGATGGCCGAATAGGAACAGCTCCAGTCTCCAACTCCCAGCGCGAGCGACACAGAAGACAGCTCTCACTCTGGGGGAAGCAAGCTACCATGTTGTGAAAAGCCCTATGGCGAGGCCCACGCGATGAGAACTGAAGCTTTCAGCCACCAGCCAGGGAGGAATGGAGCCCTGTCAGCAACCACAGGAATGAACCTGGAAGCAGATTCACCAGCAACAGTCTAGCTGTGGTCAACAGCTCTAGCAGCCTCATGAGAGACCTGGTGGCAGAACCACGCAGAAATGCTGTTTTTTGATTCCTCAAACTGTGGGAGAAAATAAATGTTTATTTTTTAAAACTGCAAAAAAAAAGAGGAAAACACACACCAGAATAAACAAGTACAAATTGAATGTCATTTTTTATTACTATTTTTACTTACAAGAATTATAGAAATATTTGATTATTTCAATTCCCTATGTGTATAACTGATCAAAATTTGATAAAGAGATAGGTTTAAGTGTATGTGTATATAAAAAGCGACTGAAAGGAAAAAGATAAGTAGTTATCTCTGATTGGTTGTTGGGATTAGCTATATTTTCCAAATACTCTAGAATGAATATGTATTACTTTTGTATTATTAATTGGGTTTGGGATTAAAAACAAATTAGACCAGTATGTTAAATTGAACCAGCATCGTCAGGAAGGGTATAAAAATCACCTGCCAAACAATGTCCATTTCAATTTACTTTATGTCCCTACTAGGACCACTGTGAGCAGTTGTAGGTATTTATAAGAGTGCTCACTCTTTTTTTTTTTTTTTTTTTTCGCTCTGTCGCCCAGGCTGGAGTGCAGTGGCCAGATCTCAGCTCACTACAAGCTCCGCCTCCCAGGTTTACGCCATTCTCCTGCCTCAGCCTCCAGTAGCTGGGACTACAGGTGCCCGCCACCGCACCCGGCTAGTTTTTTTGTATTTTTTAGTAGAGACGGGGTTTCACCGGGTTAGCCAGGATGGTCTCGATCTCCTGACCTTGTCATTCGCCCGTCTCGGCCTCCCAAAGTGCTGGGATTACAGGCTTGAGCCACCGCGCCTGGCCAAGAGTGCTCACTCTTAAGAGAATAAAAGAACTATAATGTAAAAAAAATTATCTTACCCTAAATTGGGTTAATGATAAGTGTCTAAAGGAGGTGTATATCTAGCATATAAGACCTTCTAGAGAAATATAAAGACATCAGGAATGAAGGCTGAAGAGGAGTACTTTGGAAAAAAAGCTTAGTAATGAAAAGCAATATGAATCGTTTTAGAGATACCATGACTTGAAGACATGGGAAGTATGTCAAACATGGGAAGTTGAGGACAGACATTAATGAAGTGCCTTGCTTTCAATTCGACAAATGTCCAAGACAGAAAAATGTCTCCCAGGACAAGAAAATGACTCAGGCAGGAAGAAAGAAGCTAGCTGCAGAGAGAAAAATCTAATCAGGAAATCGAAGCCAGGTGCAGTCGCTCATGCCTGTAACCCCAATGACTCCAGAGCCTGAGGCAGGAGGATTGCTTGAACCCAGGAGTTTGAGGCTGCAGTGAACTATGATTGCACCACTGCACTCCAGCCTGGGAAACAGAGTGAGACCTCATCTCTACCAAAAACAAGCCAACAAACAAACGAACAAAACCCATAGGGAACGAAGTGGAAGACTTAGGACCTAGTGTCTTCTTTTATCTCAAGCTGGTGGAAATAGCTCTGGATTTAAAGGTAGAAATAAGGATGGACCAGACAGACAACCTAAAACTATAAGGATGGACCAGACAGACAACCTAAAACTAAGAGTCATGCCTATAAAATACTTAAATACATATTAATTTTCACAAGGCTAAAGTGAAAAATGAAATGTTCGATACTATCTATGCTGTATTTGTATGTATGGGATATGGTGTGTGGTGGATGCTGGACTGGGGCCTTGCAACTATGAGGCTAATAACAATGAGACGGGAAGACAGGAGAAAAAGGAGTATGGGAGGTCTTAAAATATTGGTAACTTCAGAAATGTGCTAGGATTTGTGGGCAGCAGATATTTCAAAACATTGAGTAAAGAACACTGGAGTTAAGGGCATGGAGCTTCAGAAAGTTATTAGCACTGATAGCCAAGCATGTTGGTGGGTGTCTGTAGTCTCGGTTACTTGGGAGGCTGAGGTGGGAGGATTGCTTGAGCCCAGGAGTTCAAGGTTGCAGTGAGCTATGGTCACACCACTGCACTCCAGCCTGGGTGACAGAGACCCCATCTTTAAAACAAAACACAATAAAACAAAAATAAGAAGAAAAGAAAGTTACTAGCACTGAGAGCCAGACGGATGCCCAAAGTAAGAGCCCATTAAGAGTTTCCACCATGAGATAACTGTGGAACAGTAATTTTCACGTTAAAAATAGCTTTCTTCCTGCACTTAAAGGGATGATTCAGGGAAGCAGATTCTAAAGGAGAGGTGAAAAAGAGGACATGCCCTGGATGTTTGGAGATAGAACTACAAGCCAACATCCTCGGCAAGCCCTGTACCACCCCAATGCCACCACTCTCTGTTCCAGTGGGTAGACATGGGTGGGAGCAGCATGAGTGATTACAGTTAGGGGGCTAATATCACTGTCTTTATTTCATCATGTCTCCAACATCCTGAGGACATACTGGCCACTATCCCTCAACTAAAGAAACTGATGAGTGCAGTAGGAACCTGCTTTGGAGGGTTCACATTGAGACTCGTCAATGCGGAAAGTAAAAATCTGAGGATACAATTGAAATCTAGACAGCCTTGAATGGTATGGACAAGGAGACATAAAATCTGCTCACTAAATCAGAATAATAAGATGAAAGGTCAATAATAAGGATAAAAAGGTCAATAATAGAATAATAATATGAGAGGTCATCCCTAGAAGGTTGAAAACATTTTCAAGTAAATAAAAGAAACTCCTTATTGTAAGTAGTAGTGCAGGCTGGAAAAATATACCTATTTAGTGCAAACCATGTGACAGGCACTAGGAATAAAGTTAGTCCCTACTCTCACAGGGCTCAAGGTCTAAATGGAATAATAGATATGAAATAACTCAACAAGTAAATAGCTCAGCTGTTGGAAATCAAACCAAGGAGAAGAAAAGAAAAAGGACATAGTGCTATAAAAGTACATCTTTATAAAATTCAAAACCATTTAAAATATGTTGCCATTGATTTCCTCATGAATAGGTTTTAATACCTCCATCTTTCTCTAATAGTTTTCAGTTTACTAGAAATAGTATGTGAACTTTTTAGGTTAAAAGTTCCAGCATAGATTTATCACTTATTATATCCTTTTATTCCTTGAAATGGGTGATTGTCAGGCAGAAATTTAGGACAAAGGAGCTGGAAAATATTCATGAGACTCAGGAACAAAGCTATTACTCCAACTGCAAGATTTCATTATAAGCACTTAAATACAGTTCAAAGTCACCACATCTGTAAACTCAAAAATGCTGCTCACTTGGCTGGATCCAATCAATATTTATTAACCATTATGTTAGTTATTCTTCATATAGACAGACGCTTTGTTTCTTAGAAGAAATCACTGTCCATAACAACAAAAAAAAAAAACTTAATTGTGAAATGTTTTTTTTTAAATCAGTCTTTTCTGGTTATTGAACATTTCATATGAATAAATTATTCTTCATGCACATGATAGCTTATCTGAAATAGCTTCCCAATTCTTTAAAATGCCAAAGGCATCTTTTCTCAGCATAAGGCATTTTGCCATCACATGGTTTATTAGCAGAATAGGAAAATTAATCTTATTCTAAGCAAAAGCAGAAATATAATTAGCTGAACCAAGAAAAGTGTGACATTTGCCCATGAACTCTTCATTCAGATAATGTATCTATTTTGGGAACTCATGAGACGGAAGCAAGACAAAAATATGAGAAGATATTAGGTTTCTCTATTGTTCAAAATTAGAAAATGGATGTGGCTTTTATGTTGACTCTTTCAAGATAAGAAAATAGTTAAAGGATGTATGAAATAAAAAAGTGACATCAGTGATTATTAGTAATTGTCTGCTTCACAGGAAGCAAACGGGAGTATCACTGTAGTTAGTGGTAGGTGAACAACTGATTGTACTGGTTTCTCTTCATGCTCTCGCCTCTTCTCTTAACTCTATGCTGCACATAGTATGGGATCATCTTTACCACATGCCCCTAGAGATTCTGTTTCACTTCACTCAGAGCCTAGAAACCACTTGCTCCAAAACTTGAAAAATATTAAGAGTTGATGTCCCCAGACTGCTCTTCAACCTTGAACTTGAACCACTAAGCTCCAGGACAAATTTGTTTAAAATGACTGTGCTTAAATTTTCATTTAGGTCTAAATTTGCTGGGAGAGAAGGTCTTTTGTTTGTATTTTCTCACATTGAGAATATTTACCAAGATTATTGCACTGATGAGCCTGACCCTATTCATTTACCCCATTTTTAAGATGTAGTAAAGACATTTTCTGCTGTGGAGGAAGCTATTGTGCAAGATTTTATCATGTATTGGAGGAAAATTTGAGTATCTGAATTTTGTTTCACATATGTGTTCAGCTTTGCATGTGTATTTCTGTGTGCATACAGAACATAGAAAAGAGTCTAGATTAGAAGACACTGTTCCAAGTGATTATTTCATCACACAGGTAATAAGCATAGTACTCTATAGGTAGTTTTTTGATTCTCTCCCTCCTCCCAGCCTCCACCCTCAAGTAGACCATGATGTCTCTTTTTCCATTATTTGTGTTCATGTGTTCTCACGGTGTAGCTCCCACTTATAAGTGAGAACATGCAGTATCTGGTTTTCTGTTTCTGCATTAGTTTGCTTAGGATAATGGCCTCTAGCTCCATACATATTGCTGCAAAGGACATGATCTTTTTCTTTTCCTATGGCTGTTTAGTATTCTGTGGTAAATATGTACCATATTTTCTTTATTCAGTCTACTATTGATGGGCATTTAGGTTGATTCCATGTCTTTGCTATTTTGAATAGTGCTGCAATGAACATACACGTGCATGTGTTTTTATGGCAGAATGATTTACATTCCACTGAGTATATACCCAAAAATGGGATTGCTGGGTTGAATAGTAATTCTATTCTAAGTTTTTCAAGGAATTGCTACACTGCCTTTCACAATGGCTGAATTAATTTACATTCCCACCAGCAGTGTGTGTTACAAAAGATTATTTCTGAAGACTGAGATTACATGAGAGTATTCTTTTCTTTAGTATGTTCCTCTTTATTTTCTAGATTTTTTGCAGTGAGCATACCTTACTTCATGATGAGGAAAAAAAATTGTTATTTCTCCAAAATGATTGAGCATTTTGCATGAACACAATACTGCAATAAGTAATTAGGGGAATTAAAAAAAAACTTTTTTCTTTTTCGGAGCTTTCAATATTCACAAATAAATTGATACTATGTGATAATATTTGTATTGCCTGTTATGTGTCAGATACTTCTCCCATTTAATTTCACATACTCTATCTCCTTTAATCCAAATATAGAGAATACGTGTAAATCCACACCGTGTTATATTATTCAGTAATTGTAAATAATGTTGACAATGAACATGGAGATGCATATTTTATAATAGTAAGGTACAAACACAAGATAAAAATAGGCAGACAGAAAGCTATGCATAAAGACTAAATGGAAAGCAGTCTGGATAGTGGTAATTTTTTTCTACCTACTGAATTTACTAATAGGAGCATGTATCCTTCCCATAATGGGAGAAAAAGTGAACTTTTAATTATTTTTAATATATATGACAGCCATAGAACAATTCTGTGCTAACTTTGGGGTATTTATGTGCAGCATATTGAACATTTAGTGAAAAGAGAGACCACTGTGAGATGATGAAGCTGGAGAAGTCTTCAAGAAGCAATGCAGGGCTCCCTGAGTACTTTAAAGGAAGGGCAAGTTTCTTTAAGAATGTGGAAGGAGGACAAGGAGGATGTTATAGAAAGAAAATAACTTGTACAATAGCAGCAAGAACTGGTCCATTTATAAAACAGGCGCTTGCTCAGGTGGTGGCTATGAGGATTAAGTAAGTTGGTGCACCTGGCATCATGCCTGGATGAAAGATACTCAGGAAATATTAGCCATCATGATGATGGTGCTGGAGAGAATGGAGAAGAGGGATGAATTCAAGACACAGTCCAAAGGACTAAATGGTAAACTTGTTCACAGTCTGGTTCCTTGAATAGAAATAAAAGTGCCAAATAGCCCTTCATTGTTTCTCTCCCAAGAGATCAGAAGGAGAGTGCCCATGTCAGAAGGGGAACAGGGTGGGGAGCTGGGCAGCAGGGGTAGGTGATGAGACAAGTTTGGGACACTCAGAGTTAAAAGTTTGGGAGGTAAAGGAAGTGTGGCCAGTGAGGCGGAGAACACAGGTGGCATCAGAGAAACAAGAGAGGGAAGATTTTTCAGGGATGTCATTGACTCTTTAGCCAGTGGAATCCAGGGGGAGTTGAAGAAGTGGAAAGATAAGCACCCCCAGTGCTATTCTAATTGTGTCACCGCTTGAAGCACCCTGCTTTCCCTATTCTTGCATCTAATTGCAGTACACTACCATGAAACCAGTTCATTCCGTGCTCAATTTGCTGTTCTGCTTAAAGGGACTTAAACTTGATACCTGAAGACCAATTGCTAGGGGCCATTAAATTTATTTCCTTCTAGGCACTGTATGTAAATAAGCAATTAAATGAGGGAAAATAAGTTGAGGGTCATTTATCAGGGAGAGAAAAAGAAAACAACCATTGAACAAGGCTGTACAGGCAAACTTATTTAGATTGAAGAAAACATAACATTTAATTATCAGAAACAAATGCAAGCCTTGGTCCAGATCTTCCTTCCCAAACCTTTGTCATTTAGGGACTGAGAAGCTGAGTTGGGTGAAAGGTTGAATAGAAAACAAAAAGGAAAGCTAGAAACATGCTGAGCTCACAGAGATGAAGTTTCTTCTGTAGCTCCTAAAGCCCAGCCAAGGTGTCATCTAATGAGAATTCTCTCCATGCCAGGCACTGCGCTAAGCGTTTCACATCATTAACCAATGTGAGCCTTAGGCAACCCTGAAGCAGGCAGTCTGCTCATCCCAATTGCAGCTGAGGAGACAGGGTGAGTGAGGCCAAGCAGCTGGCTCAAGGTCCCCTGGCTGGTAAGTGGCACAGCCTGCATCCCTGCCAGGTGGTCCTGCTAACAAAGCTGGCGCTTTTTTGTCACCATGCAGTACCGCCTCCTGTACTATCAAAGTGTACTATCAAGTTTGCCTCAAAAGAAAACCCTCTCTCTTCTGAGAAGCTCAGGAAGGTCTAACACGTTGCCTGCCAACAAAAAACGTGAAGAATTAAAAATTAGCCATTGTACGTAAATTATTAGCCATTTACATTATATGTAAATTATGTTTCATTAAACTTTAAAAATCAGCAAAAGATTTTCTTCTGGTAGATTTCCTTAAAGAAGTGTCATCTTTAAGTTTTACACTTAAGTGACCCATGTTATCTGTTTTAATGAATAATTTTCCTAGTGGAAAATTACGATAGTACTTTGGGTGGCAATCTAGGATAAAAAGTGATCAAGTGAACTCAGGAGAGTGAACCCTTTCTAACTGCACACAAATATAACTGTCTACTCTCTTCCTGGTGGCAGCAACTCAAAATTTCAGTTTATTCATTTATTCAGCAAATATTTATAAACCAAATGAACCATATGAAATCACCATTCTTGTAGGTCAAAAACAGTCATATGTGGGTAATTCCAAATAGTTCAACCTAATACAAAGAACCCTCTGTGTGGCAGAACAGATAATATCATGGGAGCTGGGAATATAGTGTTGCATAAATGGACCAAGGTCTTGCCTTTCTCTTGCTACATACTGGTGGTCTAAGACATAAACAAGCAAAAAGATACATTAACAAAATTATACCAAATTGGGATAAGAAATAAACAGGATAAAATAATTAATAACTTTCTTGAGGTGAATTGAAAGCTACTCTGAATAAAGAGATCAGAAAAGGTAAGGTGGATAGAATATCAGAGGAAGATAGTTCCAGACAAGGGGAGCAGCAAGTTGAACGTCCATGAAGCAGATTGAAACTCCTGAGCAGGGCCCTGCTGAGTGAGGGGACTTGTTACTAGGGGAGTTCAGAGAAATAAATGGAAGTGAGTTTTGTAGGGCTTCAAGGACCCTGACAAAGAGTTTGGATTTTATTCTAAGTTAGAAGAAACGCACTGAAGGCTTTTTGCCTAAAGAGTTGACATGATTCAGTTTATGTATTGAAATATAACTTATGGGGATGGGCATGGTGGCTCAAACCTGTAATCCCAACTAGTTGGGAGGTTGAGGCAGGAGGATTGCTTGATCCCAGGAGTTCAAGGGCAACAGAAGGAGACCTTGTATCTTTTACATCTACATCTATATCCATCTATATCTTATGGGTAAAGGAAATATTCTATATTTTTATTATAGTGGTTACATGACCAAATATATTTGTCAAAAGTCACTGGAATGTATACCTAAATATGTGAATTGCTGAATTTTACTCTATGCAAATTATATCTCAGTAAACCTAACCAAAACCAAACAAACGAAAAGATAACTCTGAGCTGAAGCATTGAAAATTATTTCCCTGGAAGGTATTGGTTTGTCTTGTTTGTTTGTTTCCTTTTGGTGATATCATTTGTTGAACTCTGCCTGCTTAAACTCTGCACATGTATTGTTTTTTGTAAAATTAAAATTATATTTTAAAAAAGATAACTCTGGCTACTGAGTGGAGAGGAATTTATAAGACAGCAAGACTAGAGATAAGGAGACCATTTAGGAGACTATGGCAAGAAATGAGACTATGGCAAGAAGTAGTCGTGGTGGTGATAGTGGAACTGAGAAATAGGAATAACATTAAAAATATAATTTGGAAGTAGAACTGACAAGACTTACTGACAGGTTAGATGTGGGCAGAGGGGCTAAAGAAAAAGAAATCAAGGATGACTTTTGGGTTGGGGGTGTCCACATGGGCAAGGCATGGTTGGAAAGAGGGAACAAACAGTTCAATGAAGGGTTTGTTTTGGATTTCAAAATATTTGAGGTGGCTATTTACTATTCATCCAAGTGGAAGAGTCAAGATGGAAGTTGGACACATAGGTCTGCAGTTAAAGGAAGAGATGAGGACTAAATTTGTATATCATCAGTATACATACGATGTCTTAATCACTTTGTGCTGCTATAACACAATATTACAGACTGGGTAATTTATAAATTATAGACATTTATTTCTCTCAGTTCTAAGGGCTGGGAAGTCCAAGATCAAGGCACCAGCAAGTTTGGTGTCTGAAGAGGACCTGGCATCTTCTCACTGTAGCACCCTTACATGGGAGAAAGGAGAAGAACAAAAAGAGCCTAACTAGTTCCCTCCATCCCTTTTATAAGGTTCTAATTAATTCACACAGGCAGGTCCCTCATGACCTAATCACCTCCCAAAGGCCTTGCCTCTTAACAATGCTGCATTGGGGATTGAGTTTCAATAGGAATTTTGAAGGGGACACACACATTCAAACCATTTCACATGATATTTAAAGCCTTGGGCTGGATTGAGATAGAAGACTCACGGTAAGGACATAGATATAGCAAAGAAGAGGGCCCTACAGCATTACAAATTTAGAAGACTAGTAGGGAAGGAGGATACAGCCAAGTAGGGAGATCCACATTGTCTGTTCCAAGAGGTAATATATATTTAATCCTTTGGGTGCTGAATCTGTGAATTAGTCAGTTTGGCTGCCATAACAAAACACCATAGACTGGGTGGCTTAAACAATAGAAATTAATTTTTTCACAGCTCTGAAACAGGGAAGAGGAAGATCAGGGTGCCAGCATGGTTGGCTTCTAGTGAGTGCACTCTGTGGCTTGCAGACAACTGCCTTCTCACTGCATGCTCATGTGGCCTTTCCTTGGTGCTTGCCATAGAGAGAGCTCTCTCTCTCTCTTTCCCCCTCTTTTTATGAGGCTACAGTCCTATAGAATTAGGGTGCTACCCTTATGACTCCTTCAGCCTTAGTTATCTCCCAACGACCCTATCTTCAGATACAATCACATTGAGGATTAGGGCTTCAACGTATGAGTTTGCCAGGGGAGGACACAATTCAGTTCATAGTAACCTACAAGGAGACATATCAGGGGCACATTCTTGTCACGTGGCCAAACTTCCATTGCAAAATGACTACATTACAATGGGTCTTTATGTGAGTGTCTAGCACATTGTTGCAATTATGTGATGAACTATCATTTTGAATTTGTTAAGTTGTACTGGTGGAGGAGGAGGGGGAGGAGAAGAAAAAGAAGAAGAAGAAGATGATCATTAATTATGTACTCACTCTGTGTCAAGTACTATTGTAAATACTTTTCCATGCATCACTACTTTGTCAAGTTTTTATGATAACCCTTTGAGGTAGACATTTTGTTTTATAGATGAGGAAACGGAGGTCCCAAGAAGTTAAATAACTTGCTTAAGGTCACAGAGCTAATGAGTGGCAGAACAATTATTCTAGCTCTGATTTTAAGGGATTTACTTAACTTTTACTTGGAATCCATGGAGTCATTGGGCTTTATTTAATAAATATCTCATCATATTCTAGTTATATCATCTCCTATAAGTGTTCAAAATTTGACAAAATTCAGATCAAAGGTGTTTTGGGGGCATTTTGGTGTCAGAAGCTATGAGGCCATTAAATATCATGTGGGCTGCATTAGTTTTCTAGGGCTGCCATAATAAAGCAGCACAAACTAGAAGGCTGTACATCTGAAATTAAGGTGTAAGCAGAGCCGTGTTCCCTCTGAAACCTGTGGGGGAATCCTTCCTCTCTTCTTAGCTTCTGGTGGTTTCATAGCAATCTTTGACACATGGTGAAATCTGACACAAATTAAGTACATAAGAAGGTGTTCCTTGGTTTTCAGCTGCATAACTCCAGTCTGCCTTCATCATTGCATGGTCTTCTCCTTGTGTGTTTCTGTCTTCACATGGCCATCTTCCAATAAGGCCACCAGTCATATTGGACCAGAGGCCTACCCTATTCCAGTATGACTTCATTTTTATTTAACTAATTATATCTGCAATGATCCTATTTCCAAATAAGTTCACATTCCGAGATACTGGGGGTTAGGAAGATATGTTGAAGAGCATGTCTTTTTTTTTTTTTCGGTGGGGGTTGGGGAGGATACAATTCAACCCAGAATTCCAGCCAGGGGCTTTATGGATATAGAGTTTATCATCTTAAGGAAGCACACCCCTTATTGCATCTCCCCTTTTTCGAACCCTAACATTCACAGAAAATTTCCTGCCCGCAGTTCCTTCCCTGGGTTTAAGGATTCCCCAATGCCAGGTGTTAAGTCTGCTAGGAAATCTGTAGATGACAGGGAAGAAAATGCAAAGAGAAAATAAAGTCCTCAAATGCAGCTAGAAATTGCTAGCTTCTACTTTTAAAATAAAGCAACATAATACTTTTTCTTCCAATTTATCTACCTTCAAAAGTCCCAACAAATGTTGTTCGTAGTACTGAAATCTATCATTTCCCTTTATTTTTTCCATTCTTCAAATTGAGCTATTAAGTCAAATGCTAATTACATGAAACATTGTTCTCTGTTAATAAATGTTTTGAGAAGTTCTGCTGCCTCAAACAAACAAATTAAATATTAAGTCAGTGTGGCATTTCAGTTGAATAGGGAAAAACAGATTACTTAATAAATGGTACAGCAATATTTGGCTAACCATTTGGGAGAATATAAAATTAGATGCCTACTTCGCAAATTAAATTTCAGATTTGTTAGAGACTTATATATAATTAAATTAAAGACAGATCTTTAAAATTCAATAAAATTTAAAAAATTGCAAAATAACTTAAAATATGTGGCTATTTACTGTATTTGGGTATTGGGAAGTCTTCTTGCTAGTTATAAACACTAAGATATAATCTACAAAGAGATAAATCAATTTACAAAAAACTTAAAACTTCATGTATATATAAAAAGCAGCACTATAACATGGAAAAAAGGAAAGATGTATATTGTATATGACAGATAATATGTTTATATTATACATATAAAAATACTTACAAATAATTTACAACGTAATGTTCCAATAGAAAAATGAGAAATAATTTTAAAAGGCAATTCACAAAAGAAGAAATACAAATAGCCATTAAACTTATGAAAAGATATTTCTCTTCACTTAAAAAAAAAGTTAAATAGGATCTTTCAGGCCTCTTTCAGTTCTAACACACTGTGATTCTGAATACATAGGGTTCAGTTGGAACGTTTTTGCATAGATTTGCCCTT